ATTATCTTTAAACCTAATGACATTTAGTATAGTTATGCACAAATTAATCATAACGCATACGAAAAAGGTAATCGTCATAAAGCAAGATGCATTGCATATCATGATAAAAAATTTATCATTTTCATGTTACTCGATTAGTATATGTTGTGCGATTTGATTCAAACTTCCACATTTTGTAAGAACAAGATGAATTTTTACTTTTTTTGCTTTTCGGAGTTCACTTCCTTTAATTTAAGAGAAATAATTAAACAAGGGGATTAATTGCCATCTTAATGGCTCCAAATTCACATGGACCCAAACAAAAAACATTATAAATAATAGATTCAAATGATAATTGAAACTTTCGCCACAAGATGATGCGTTCACAAATTATTCAAAGTCAAGCAATATAATATCCGTGTTTCGAAAGTCGCTCTTTACTATATACTCCCATGAAAGGTGTTTTCGGAACAACCAAAATTTATAAGATCGAAGAAGTGTGATTTATGTATTTGTTATGACCATTCATAAACTTTCATTTAAATCATAAAATAGAACTTTTGTTAGCTTTTTTTGGAGTTTTCTTGGTCCGTATTCTAAATTCTAAAATATGTTCTAATACAATTATCAGGAGTTTTTAGTTATATTTCAGATTATGTATGCGTAGAACCAAAATTTCAAATTATGTAAAGTAATTTATCATTGGCTGCGAACAATTTCTTTTCAGCTCCTTAATTTTCTTATCAGATATTTGCGCTGTTCTGAGACACTTCGTAAAGCCCGCGTATGTAAAGGATTAGCATTTATTTCATCTACAATCAGAACACTAATATGGCGTTTTATGAGCCGACAAAAAGGTAAAACAAACAACAGTAATGAAATTTAATCATTTGGATTGAATTAAATGGAATGGTTGGATAAACGGTTGTTTAGATTGGATTTATTTACTTATCAATCTGAGAATGCTTGAGAGAATCAACAAGATCGCGTTGAAATTTGAAACTTATCGGTTAAACAGATTTTCCCGTGAGTCATACGTTTTGTTTTCAATATTTATCTCTTTTGACTTCCTCTAAAATCAAACTATTTTCCGAGTAATAATTGTTGTTACGTTTAATAAATATTTTTTTTTTTTTTTTTTTTATAAATATTCATCTTTCGAGTTCATGCTTTAGGGCAAATTCGTTATGAATTCTCGAATCTCGCATACTCAAGGATCTCATTCGTATACTTTGCAGGGTATCATTTTACCCCATGAGAATACGGTATATGAGCCTCAGACTTTGTATCAACAATATGGTATCGCTAGCACTTGCATGCCAATGGTAGTACCTTATTCTCAATCTACCCCAGGAACTGTATTCAATTATTATCAAGTTTATAATATAAACGAACCCTTGAACTTTTATTATAATGATATTCATATCTATTGTAAAGAAGTAGAAGTATTATTAACAGACGAAACAATCGAATGTTTAAACATTGATATTCATAATCCCATTCAATATAGTAGTAATTTTTATAAATTTTATTATATACAACCAGTTACTCTGAATTTTTATGAAGTATTTTGTACAATCTACAACGATGAGAACCCGGAGCGAGAATTTTCCAAGAAAAATCAAGAAAGTATTGAATTTTGTTTAAATAATTATTTGGGTCCAATCAAACAAGGTATGACAATGCTGCTTCTTTATTTTTCATAATAATGGTCTGGTATGTCAGATCAAATTTTCGATTTTAATCACACCCTTTTTATTAAAATAATAATAATAATAATAATAATAGGAGGGGAAATCAAGGTGCATCCCTGTAAATGGAAGGAAGAGGCTACGAAACTATTACTCAAATTTGTGGAAAAAAATAAGTGGAAAATCAAGCAACTAGTAACAAAACGTGGTCGTAGTGGTAATATTAAAACGAAGCTCTGGAAGAAAGCTTCTATCTTGTTATCTTGTAAAGGTTACAATTATACTGCCAAGCAATGTGCGATTAAATGGAAAAATATTAAGAAGAATTCCAAGGTAAATTTTTTATTAATAATAAATCAAAAAAAAAAAAGAATTTAATCATTTTTTATAAATGTCCGTTTAATTTAGGATGGTTCATATAAGTTAGAAGTTGAAAAGATCATTGGCAAGCAAGAAATCTGCATTAAAACGCGTTAAAAAAAATCATTCTTAAAGGTTTATATCAATATGAATATCGGGAAAGATAACTAATATCACATGACATAGATCTAATGATGTAATTATTTATTAAAAATTGTATATGATTTTCTCGTGAGATAAATTTGCCTAATAAACAAAAACGTATATATGTGTACTTTGTGCTATAAGATTCTGAATTCTAATTTGCTAGTACCACAAACAAACAAATCTCATACCATATAAAAAGTTGTTTGAAAGGGAATCCCAACAAATCATTTCCACATTTGATTTCACTCGAGTCAACAATATCTTTTATTGTCATTATAAAAAAAATTTTTTTTTTTTTTGTGATCATATTTAACGAAAAAAAACGATCAGATTACTGAAGAAAAGTTATATTAGCCAATCAAGAATTGTGAAGGGTCTTGGTATCATTGTCCACTTTAATACTTGTACGAATAAAATATCAAACGATTTAGAACATATTAAAGAGACACGGGCTTCGACAAACGTTTTGTCCTTTTAAGCAATGCAAGATATTATTCTGACCTGTTCAGAAGGACTTTATTTGTTTTAATAAATACTGGAACGTACGATAAAACAATATTCAAAAAAAAAATTCTATGTTTTATTCTCAAGATCAAAATTCTCTGTGTCTGTTAGCTACCTTTTAAGTATAATCAATGAATTTGGTTATATACTTTATAATAATCTCAAATTACTAAATGCCTTACTTTTCCTTAAAAAAACCAGATTGTATTACAAATTTAATGATCCAAATCAATACTTCGAATTAGCCTCTATGTTTGAATCCAATCCAAATGTAAAAAGTTACATAAATAACCACTTTATCTCCACTTTGGAAAGTATTATTTTAACTTCATTAACCATATATACATCATTAAATAAATTCATTTTCAAAAAAATTTTTTTTTTTTTTATTAAATTTGTTACAATAGGCGTCCTTATAGTTTGTAAGATAAATCATGTCTTTTCAAGTTGATAATAATACCGAGCAAGGCGAGTTTATAAAATAACATTTCGGTGATTTGCTAAAGCATTTATTTGTCAGATCGGGTGTCGTTAAAATTTTATTAAATTGTATCTGTACAGAATTTTTATCCAAGTGTAACATCCTATTTGTCACATATTTTTGTAATAGATTAGGATTAATTTCTTTTTTGATTTCTTTTCTAGGCGAATCTTCTAATGGAAGCGAAAGCCTCCAATCTAAAACAACAAAAAATGTTCCATGTAAATGGGATGTTTTAACAATTCAATCTTTGCTTACATATTTGGAAGCAAATGAGAAGGAGGTCCGAAAACTAAGATTCCGTGGTCGTAAAGTAAAAGAAGTTAAAAAGAAGCTTTGGAAAGGGGCGTCCGATTACCTGCGATGCAAATATCATAATAAACAGTGTGAAATTTAGTGGAAAAATATGAAACGGATATGCAAAGTAAAATTTATTTTCTTAATTAAAAAAATTTGACCAAAGTATCATTAATTTTTAACATTTTCAATTTAGGACAATCCAACAATTTGGTATAAATCACGCGTGGAAAAAATTCTTGGCGAAACAATCAATATCAAGGTTGGTTCCAAACATTTTTATGAGATTTTTTCTAAAAAAAAAAAATTAATTACATAATTACATCAACCGTTTAGGCAATATAATTCCTGCGACGAAGAATATTAATTATACCTGGAAATTTTAAACGGGGTGCTCATAATTTAAAGCGGATTACTTACATTGTTGGAGCTCTTTTTTATTTATTTTTTTGAAAAAAAAAAAAACAAATATATGTTTATATGTATATTATACTTTATCGTAATAAAACAAAACATATATTTTAAAAATTATCAAAAAAAAAAAAGTACACGTAAAATAAAAATGAATTCAAGCCACTCGCAAACTCATTTTAAATTTTCAAATTCTTACAGTACTCCATGATCAAGTTAAACATGAACATTTCTCACGCCCTTCCAACGATTATTATACTTTTTTTTTTTTTTTTTTTTTTTTTTTTTTTTTTTTGTCAACAAAAATGATCTTGAAAAATCTTGTTGCATAAACTAAAAGCAAAATAAATATACCCTTTACCCAAATTATAAATAACGCGTGAAATTGTTTCTCCTATTATTATTAAATTATTCGAATAAAAATATTCACGACATTGAAAATTAGGAAGAATATTTTACAGGTTGGCTTTTACATCGACGAAAAAGAAAGCCTTCCTTGACTTTGATTTGTGTAAAAATTAAAATAGATAAAATGATATTTTTATATTTTATATTAAATACATTTATTAGGTTTTTTTTCTACAAGAAAGTACGATTTTCAATTTTAAATTTCATCCCAAATAATTGAAAGAAAAAAAAATAATTTTTTTTTTTTTGATTACATTTTTTTTTAAAAGTTTTGTACATTTGAATTATTAATAAAAAAAAAAAAAAAAACTATAAATTTAACATAAATTTTCCTAAAGATAAAAAATGATTAATCTAACGCCCATCCCAATTTAGTATTTGACATATTCACCGTAAATGTTAGTTTGAGTACCATTAAGGAAAGAGTCATAAGCGGTTTGCATGACACCCATCCAACAATTAGGGTTCAAATCTGTAGACCAATTATTATGCCAATGATAAGCGAAAGCCCCTCTAAAGAATTCATCAGCATTTCTTAATTCCAAAGGAGAATACGAGCTTAAATTTTCAATCTCAGGAAATTCATTCGGAATTAAATTAGGATCCCAAACATCATCCATCCCTCTAAGATTAGGTTTCAAAATATTCTTTTGTTTATTATCATTTTTTAACCAAAGAGGATCAAATAAAGGAACAGAGTACATATACAGTTGTGAATTGTATATGGATTTTGCCAAGGGTGAATCCGAAGAAATACTCGCGTTGACCATCAAATAGTTCTTGATCTGGAAGGGGTGGAAATTCATTTTGTTTAACATGGCTTGTGAAATAATCTTTCGACTTGTTGTACCGTTCGCATGAAGTCTTAACACGGCGGTATTATATTCGGTTTTGAAGCTCCACTTGTATGAAAAATCCAAGCCCGAGTGATATAAAGGACGCATATCACGTAAGAAGAGCACATCACCATCCATGTACATACCACCATACCTATTTAATACGACGAATCTAACTAAATCACTAAAAGCGACGGAACTATGTTTCTCCATGATTTCCTTCCAACCTTTATATAAATCATCGGAATTTAATTGTTCATCGGTATCCCACCTTCTAAATTCAACGTTTCGAGGGGAAAATCTTTTATATAAATTCCCCGCAAAAGGGTTCAAATTGATGTCAGTATCGCTGTCTTGTAACCACACATTTAATTTTGAACATGTGAGGGGTTGCGTGTAAAGAAAGCTTTTTATTTGTAACGCTAACTTATCCGTTATCATCCCACGCCAAAATACATGAAATAGCATCGGTGGTTCATTTTCCTTACATTGCGGAGGGATTATTGAATTCTTGGAGGATAACGGAAATGTTATCGTATAATCATCTTCTTTAAGATCGAGATATTTTAAACATGATTCAACTGAGCGAGTCTTCATATTGCATTCCTGCATAACTCGGTCAGTATCCAAAACAAATCCATCTTCGGGTCTTTGTCGTATGTTTGTCCTATTTTGCTCAAAAGTATCAAGAAATTTTAAATCTTCTTCGTCAAAATTAAAGTATACTGTATACAACAAGTCGGATACGATAACAAATGCTATGAAGAACCATAGACATTTGTTCGTCAATATTTGTGATATTGAACTCATTATTATTGAATTTATAATTTATTATTTTTTTTCGTTAAAAAAAAAAAAAAAAAAGAGAGAGAGATGTTTTAGAAGAGAAAAACTCCGAAAAAAAAAAAACCATTTAAATAATCATTTGGCTAATTTAGTAATTGTTACAACAATAAATATGAACGTTAGAGGGTGAAGTATAAGGGGTATCTTTCTCATTCAAATATTACAATATGAAAATATATACAACAACTTAATAAAAAGGGTTTGTTTATAAATAGATTACCACAAATAGTTATAATTGTAAATTGATTTAACTTTTTTTAGATTTGAATATTTCTTTATGAAACTGAAATTAGTCCTAGATGTTACACAGAAACATATTTTTTTTTTTTAAAAAATAATCTCGTTTTAAAGAAAATTGGTTTTTATAAATCTTTATATTAAAAATATTTCGATCACTTTACGAATAGAAAGTATAAGTACATTTTGAACTTATTAAAAATTAAAAATGAAAAATGATTTATAAACTTTGAAATGATTTTGAACTTGAATATTGAAAGCGTTACACCATCAATCATCGATTATTGTATAAATGAGGTTTGTATAATGCGACACGACATGGATTTCATCTTTGTTTTTAACAAGGTAAAGTAAATGATTTTTTCTTAATTCAGGTTTACTTTCAATTAATAAATAAAAAATTTTAATCAATTATGTTTTTTAAAGAAAACTTTCACCAAAGAACAGACATTTCGCTAAAATGAAATAATAAGCAACATGGTTTTGACAAATTATATTTTGATAAATAAATTCGCTTGTAATTATTTCTTTGAGTAGAGTGACTAATTCCTAACCATTTAGATATAGTGATTCCAGACGGTAATACTATTTAATATAGTCAGTCCTTTATCTAGTCACACAATGGTTCCAAAATTTGTGATTTTGTAGAGGTGTGAGGAATAATTTTTCTTCAAATTGAAAAAATTTGTGTTACATTAATTAAAGAATGTCAATCTTTGACTATCTATAAAAATTTTAATAAAAAGTCTTTATCATAAGGTCTAATAACTTTAAAAATCGTATTTACAGCAAAAATTAAAGTAGTTTTATTTATATTTATATTTAGATCACATAAAATGATTTTATATAAATTTATTTATAATAATAAATTTTATAAAAGTTATAATTTTAATTATTTATTCAAATCATTTATAATAAAATAAGATATTCTAAATAAATCAGTTATAGATTATAAAATCTAATTGATAATTTAGATAATAATTTTATTAATAATAAGAAAATTTTATTATTATTTATTTATATATAATCAAATAATTTAATAATAGATTTTTTTTTAAATTCTTATTATAATTATCTTTATAGTATTAAATTTTTTAATTATAAAACTTTTTATTAATTCTTTTTCTTTTAAATTTAAATTTATTAATTTAAAGTATTTTCTAAATATAACAGTTAAATAAATCTAATATAAAATAATAAATTTGATAAATAAAGAAAATGAAATACTTAATTAATTAACTCTTATTGGTCAATCTTATTTTTATTAATATTATAAATAAAAGCTTTCTTAATATTATTATAAGAGGAAGTTTCAGTAATAAATCATATAATATTAAGAAAATTTTCTTAGTAAGATTTTAAAATTATATTAAAAAAATGTTATGAAATTAAAGATTTAGTAAAAATCTTTATTTTAAAATTGATTATCTTTTAATAAAGTTATATTTTTATAAAATTTTAAAATTAAAATTATAATTTTAATTTACAATTTATAATTATTATTATTTATTAGAAATTGATATGGAAAAGTATCAGTAAAAAAAGAGAAAAATCTAAAATTTCATTAATTTTAATTTTTAAATTAATTTTAAATATATGATTGTGATCAATTAAGTGAACTAACAAAAATTTTATCAAAATTTAAATTTTTCTTTTTTTTTTTTACTACTGTTCATATATTTAATATTATATAATTTTCAAAACTTAAAATATATATAATATATATTTATTATTTTGAAAATTATGTATCTTAAATATAAAAATAACTATAGATACAATTTGAAATTATAAAGAAAATTGTAATATTAAAAAGTTTTATTATAAAATAATAGAAAATAATTATGAAAAAAATTAGTATTATAATAATCACTAATATTAAACATTATTAATTAAATAAATAAATTTTATTATTGTTTGAAATTAATAATTTTAAAATTATTTTTTTTAAAGTATTTATATATAAAAAAAATAGAAGAAATTAAGAGATATGTTTAATATTATTATTTTATAATAAAGAATAAAAATAATATAAAATGTAATTATTTATTAAAAATAATAATAACTAATTAACTCAAATGATTCATTATAATCTTGAAATTTTATATGAATTCAAAATTTTAATATTAATAATTAGTATAAATAATTAATTAGATAACTATTTATTTAAATTAAATTCTTATTCCTTTATTTATTTATAACGATAATAAGAAAAAATTTTGTAGTATTTTTTCTAAACAAATTTTGCTTATTCTTCTAATAAAAAAATTAAAATTACAATATTAATAAAAGTAATAGTAATAAATTAATTGATATTCTTTAGATTATTATATAGGTGCTTTACAGAAAAAGGAATGAAACTTCAAAATTTTTTTTTTGAATTAGCGTTAAATCTGAATATTTTTTATTAAAAAAATCATTATAATTCATATATAGGTTTATTTAATTTAAAGGAAAAAATATGTCAAAGGTATTGAATACAATAGATTTAAAAAGTTTCATAAAATTTATACTTTCCTAACAAGATTTTTTTCAGTTTTTTAAGAAACGTAACATATACGGCAAAAAAATCAGCCAATCAAATGATCGACGTCTATCGTCTTACATTTACAATTTTATTGTAAATGAACTTTAATTAAAGCATACAGTATATAAATTCATATACATATCATATTTAGCTAATTATTATGAATAAATCAAAGGTATACATAACATAAAATCATTGAGAAATTTGCCAGTAAAATCAAGTCATGAGATATAGGAAATCATATGATCCGTAATGTACTGGCAACGTTTCCAATAGAAACTGAGTGGGTATTATTTCAAATGTTGTCTTAAAAAAAATGAATTCAGGAAAAATTTATTTAAAAGATTAAAAATTTATTATTAGCTTATTATATTCTTTATTTCAAGCATCTTTCTGTTACTTCTTTTTCCTTTATGTTCTTTCCTTTGACGAATTGACGACGTAAAATCGGTTTTAATGACTTTATTCGATCGTTCTTCAACAGATGATTCAGTACTCATCTTTCGCTTAAAACAACCAGTTGTTTCATCAGAAGAGAATGGTGATAAGCTTCGCCTATTTTTACCAAGAATTTCTTCAATTTCTGAATTATACTGAAGTTTTGAATTATTCTAAATTAAAAAAAAAAATTTCATAATTAAGAACGAATGTTAAATTTTTTAATTAAGAAAATAAATTTTACATTGTAATTCTGCTTGCAATTCTTTTTGAAATTCTGTTTAAGATTTTTCCACTTAATCGCACATTGGTAGGCAGAATAATTGTAGCCACTTTCGCGTAGAATAGTGTAGGCATTATTCCAGAGCGTTTCTCTAACTTCACTAGCTATAATACCACGACTTTCCAGTTGTACTACTTCATCTTTATTGTTTTTCAAGTATGCTAGCAATGATTTAATGGCATCTTCATTCCATTTACATGGAGGTTCATTATTTTTCCCAGCGATGTTAGCTTCACTATCATCAGATTGGGAACTTTCACTTTCATTAGTAGTAGCGTTAAATTCACGTGAATTCGAATCTAAAAAAAAGATAAATAGATTAAATTAACCAATGATACAAGCCGGTTTATTACACAAAAAGCGTCGCGTTAATTTACTTTGATCAAAATTTTC